TGACGACTCCATCGCTCGCATTGAGATCCTTGTTATTTTTGTGAGCTTTGACGAGCGCTTTATCCTCTCTGGGTGTTGTAATTGGTGGACGACCTGATTTTGAAGCTCGGTGAACAGATCCAGTGGTTTTGAACGTCCCGACAATTACAGATACCGTTTTTTCACTGCATTTGAAGAGAGCTGCCACATCTTTCCTCTGAATTCCTTTCTCTCGCGCTTCCACAATTTTTTCTTTGTCCCGAGTTGACAAATATTGTCCAGGCATCTAAAAAAACAATTTTTTGTTATATAAAAACAAAATAAAAACAAAAACAAAAAAAAGCAAAATACTTCAAATGTTACAAGACTTTTGAGCATCAAAAATACGCCCGTTTTTGTTTTTATTTGTTTTTCTTAATTTTTGTTAATCGTTAACAATAAAGTTTTCCTTGCATATCAAAATAGACATTTTTGACAACTGAAAACCAAAAACTGTTTGGGAATTCGCCTCTTTGCAAAAAAGTTATTACACTTTGAAATTTGCTAAACTGGATGTTACAAGACTTTTGTGCATGACTGTAAGTGTCAACTGCTTTTTGGTATGTGCATGATTCTCGAACTTTTCTCCCATAAGAAAACTCTTCAACGGCCGAAACAAAAAAATAATCGGATGGGGCCAGGTCCGAACTATAAGGTGCGTGGGCCAGAAGTTTCCCATCAAGTTCGTCGATTTTTTTGGTGAGTGATTTTTGCAGTGTGAGGTTTTGCATTATCATGCAAAAATAGCACTTTTGATGTTTCAACGCCCAATTTCTTTAAAGCTCCTTAACTCTCATCAATTGTTTTGAATAAAAATAAACAATGAGAGTTTTGAATAAAGATCAGCGGCAATTCCTCCCGTATTCAACAACTCATAATACCCCAAAACTTTTGTATTCCACCAACAGCAAAGCATAAGTTTCTTTCCATGAATATCGGGTTTGATTGTGGTTGTGGGAGTTGGCCTAGAGAAAGCCACTGATTTTTGCGCTTCACATTCTCATATTGAATCCATGTTTCATCAGAGGTTAGAATTCTTCCCCAAAAATCATGAGCTTCGCCTTTTTGAAGCAGAGTAGAGCTAATGATAACACGAGTTGTTTTGTTGAAAAAATCGCAGAAGCAAAGAACTGGAAGATTGCCAACAACGGGAATTCAAAACCGACATTACTTTTTCCTCAACCTAATAGATAATATATAACTTTGATTTAGAGAAGTCTAATTCAATTGACGTATTAAATACGTTTTATGGAAAATACGAAAAAGTGTACCAACTTTCCAGTTGCCAATCTAATAGAAAAGAGAAGAAGCAACAACCTTTTGCAAGCCACCCGTTTCCAGTCCGAACCGGCTTTGTTATACTCTCCAACAAAGTTCACACCAATGTCTACCCACGGCAGGTAGAGAAAAGCCAAGCTAAAGAAAGTTAAAACATTTTCAAAGCTGTAACTTCTTACAGAGTGTCGTAGTAGTTTTCGTGGGTGATCACTTGAAATTCGATTGAAGCTGATGAGTTTGCAAGTCTTTCATTCTATAATAGAGTGTAATGAGTGATGGAAAGTCTTAATTATTTTGGAAGAGAAGTCTAAGCTAAAAGATTAGGACAACAAACTTGCGAGTATCCTTGTGGAATTCGGAAGTTATTCTGTGATTCGTCTTCGCTTTTATAGAAAGCATTTATGTAGTTCTTGGGGTTGAATCTCTCGGTTGGAGCTCCTTTATTAGGCATCTATAGAATGAATTCAAACCATCTATTCAATCTAAACTAACTAATTGTCGGCTTCCATTTCGTTCAATATGAAAGTTGATTCTGGCAGTGGGTGCTTCAAACAATCTCCACAGAATAGCTTTGTTTTTCGCATTCTTCAACTTCCATGCCGAATCATCCTTTGGCTGATCGAGGGGAAATTCTCGATCGTATCTTTTCTTAAAGAAGCTTTTCACTTAAAAGAGTAAAATCTGTTTCTACCATAGCATCTGAGAGAAAACGATGCTCCAGACATTCTTTTGCACTGAAGTAATTTGGTGAGGTCACGTTTTCATTCTCTGCGATCATTCTGTTGAGCAAGTCGTTTAGGCCGGCGTCGAAAAAGTGATTTGTTAATGCAAAGCTCTATGCAAACAGCTACCTGAAGGATTTTTGTTGTTTAGCATTTCCTTGACTAATCCGGCTGTTGCTATCAGATCTCTTTTTACTGACGACTCATTTTGTCCGTCGCTGAATTTGTTTTTTCTCTGCAAGTATTGCAAATTAGCTTACCCTGAAACGCGATGACTGAGCAACTTTATCAAGTGCCTTTTCTCATTGATACCAAAAGTTGATGAAGTGATGTTCTAGAGACTTTTCTTACAAAACTTTAAATTAGTGAATAGCATTACATCATGCACGAGCCCCTCAGTGTGAAGATATGAGAGTGCTTGAAGGATCTGAACAAGTATCCACGCAATGTTTTCTGGCGAGAGTCTCTTATTCTTGTTACGTAGGTCCCTAAAAATATCATGAAGTGTCAATTTGTTTAATTTTCAGTACTTGAGGTACTGAGCCAGAGTCGATTGCATTCGTTCGGACACCAGGCAAATATGAGAGACGAAATCGTTAGCATCGATCTCTGGGTACACTTCATAGTAGGTCACAATCTACACTCATTTTATTGAGAGCGTAGCGACAATAAGAACGCAACACTCACTCACAGCGTGCTCCTTTCAAATAATTCTCAAATAAAGCATTCTAAAAAAGTGTGCTTTTCATGTTTCATTTCAAAATTTTCAAACATCATTAACTGAATAGTTTGAAACCTGACAAGAAAAGCGCACTTTATCAAGTTTATCATTTGATTATTGGAGATATTTGAAAAGAGCACACTCTACTCACATTGTTGTGCGCACGATACCGGGCCCTCTTAATCTCCTCGTTCAACTGCCAGCATTTCCTGCTCATTTCCTGATCATTTCCTAGCGTAACTCTAGAATTTTCACATGTTGACATAAAAGACCATGCAACAACCGTCTAATGTACACTTTTTTTAGGTCGAGCTCGAAATTTCCGCTTTTCATCGGAGCTTCGCGTCCTTTGTTCCGGGTGATAAACGAGTTATCGAGAATGGCTTCGCTAAACTTCTTTATCTACAATGAAACGAAGAGCCGGGTCTAGCAAGTCTTGCTTCACCTACATGAGGTCTTCATCGTCGTGCGATAGCTTTCGGACAGTATTAATTCCCTTAAAATAACACTTTGTTTAGTTGGATCATTCCAGAATGATCCATTCAAAGCAGTTGATTAGTTCAGACACATTTGCTTACAGGGAAACCCTTTGAAGTTAGCTGTGTGGAGTAATCTGATTCCGAGGTGCAAACACCCCCTGGTTAAGGCAATCCTGAAACTGCTTTCAAATCTTATTTATCATAAACCATCTTCGAGATATAAGCCTTCAAAGTCTCGGTCACTTTCGCGGAACAGCAAGCTAGCCAACTTAAAGCCTTGATGCCCCAGATATCAATGTGCTTCAATGGTCCAGTGAATAGTGTGTTAGCGCGATGGACCCGAATTGGCCCTCTTTGTCCCTGTTTCCAATCCTCTCGCTGGTAAAACTTTTTTGCTTCTTTATTAAGGTATAAAAATCGATTTTCAAGTGTTCTAAAGTCTTTGCAAACATTAATTAGCAATATTAGACTGCACAGCTGCTCATAAAGTTTGAACTTTGAGTTTTTTTACAGAATGGAAAATTTCTGATTATTAGGACATATCATTTTACAAATAATTTAATGGGGATTGCTTGAATGCGGGATTGAAAAAAGATTCCTGTATGTTAAGGCCATTACAAAAGCGTCATACTTCGAAACTTGGCAAACATGCATTTACCCAATTTCACAGTGAAACTCTTCCGTTTTTATGCTTAAAAATCATTTTGAACGAATTCGAATATTTTTGAATGTTCTATTGTTTACAAGGTTTAACTATGCAAAAATATAAATATTTGCAACGCTTTAGAAACCAGACGTAAAAGTCATTGGCTTTCATGGTGACTAAAAATCTCTTCTATCAGATTTTAACATTTTATTAAAAGCTCAAAGTAGCAAATTAATGTTTATAAAGACTTTAGGACAATCAATTTTTATACCTTAATAAAGAAAAAATTTTGCCAGGGAGAGAATTCGAACCAGGGAGAAAGAAGACAAGTTCGGGTCTGACACACTATTCACTGGGCCACTGAGGCACATTGATATCTTGGCGTCAAGGCTTTAAGTAGGCTAGCTTGCTATTTGGCGAAAGTGACTGAGACTTTGAAGGCTTATATCTCGAAAATGGCTTATGATAAGTAAGATTTGAAAGCCGTTTCGGGATGGCGTTAACCAGGGGGTTATTGCATTTCGGAATCAGATCACTCCACAAAGCTAACTTCAAAGAATTCCCCTGTTAGAACATTTTTGTCGGTTTGTTCAGACATTGATTAAGACGTAAACTATTAATAGACCCAGTTCTTTGGCTCGATTGGATTCAAGGTAAAACCGAACAGTACCGAATTCATTTAGTCAGTTCGTCTTGTCTTCTTGTTTACCCTCATAAATTTTATAAATAGTTCTGACAAAATCCAAGAAAATGAAGAACTGCTTTCCAAAGCCAAGACTGGTCAGTTAAGACTAGGGACTTCTCGAGAACCAGGTCAACAACGTGACTCACTGACTTCACTCACTTCAACTTTGTAGCCGGGTGGAACTCGGATCTTCTGATTGTTCTGATCTTTAAAAGGAGCCTCTCGAAAACTTCCCACATCAAAACGCCCCATCTGTGCGCTCATTTACCCGTAAATCTAAAACTTGCAACCCTCTTCGGGTCTGCCATTATTAAGTTTTAGAAACAGAAAGAATCGAGTACAAGAAACTCTTGAAATAGAAAAAGTTGAATGAAAACATGGTTAAAAACTAGGTTTATTATGTAGAAATGGAATAATAAAACGAATTCCAAGGCATCGACCGGCTTTATTAAGATGATCGTTCTAAAAAAGAGGTTTGCTAAGAGATTAATTGCTTTCTGACCTGCTTGGCTTGCTTTAAGCATTCTTGTGATCTCTAACAAATGAGCAGCCATTTCGGTCATTCTTGTTTCCTGGAATTTACAGGCCTTGAAACAAAATTGAGTCAAATGCATGTGTCACTTTCAGAACGCACGAAAAAGGATTATGGTTCAATGCTTGTAACTAGAAAGATCTTATAAAATATTAGCTAAAATAGTTTTTAAAGAATTCTAAATTTTTGTTTCAGGTGGTCCTCCTTACCTATTTTTTGGATCGGTCGATTTTGACCACCCTAATATTTTATTTTTTCAAAAATAGCATTTTAAAGAGGTATTCCGGCCCTAAAAGTTATTTTCTAGAATCACAACTATTTGTATACCAATCGACGCGTTTCCTTCGAAAGTAATTTCTTGAAGTCAACTTGTAAATAATAGAACAAAATGTTCTTGAATTGGTGGATTTATTTTGAAGAAAGCAGGAGATCTTATAATGTTAACAAAAGTTTTGAATCTAATAATTCGGTTACCATAGAACGATTCGTCGATTCGTCCCGTTTCCTCAACAATTCCTCCCATTCGTCACTTGGATTTGACTGAAATTAGACAATTTATCTAATATTATAAAGCCGAAACTCACGTATAGATTTATTCGTTTTGGTTGATCGTTTTTGTCTTCAATTTTCGTTGAACTTTTGTCTTTTGCAAAGTCAACAATGATCTTGTATTTGGCGTTTCGCATCAACTTCTCGCATATGATGCCTTGGATGAGTATCGAACTCAACTAGAATAACAACATCTATTGCTTTTAGCATCAATAAGCAAACCTGCATTGACAACTTGTTAACCGTGGCCTCTTCCTTGATTTCGGCAACGTCGTCAACGGCCACGCCTGTGTACAGATTCATGAACAAAATCGTGATTGTCACCATGAAAAGCACGAAGACGATAAAGCTAGCTATGCGGACCAACAACACTTGAGGCGTTTCGACAGGCGTTGTGTCTGTCGGTAATGCCCTAAATAGGCTGTTTCTAAAAACAATTTCCAAGAACAACTTATTCCGAATTTTTTGATCTATCAAAACTTACACTTACACGAATAAACTGCTGAAATCGAATTCTCCCGTTGACATCACAGAGACCTTGACGAGAGAGATAAATAGATTCTCTAGCACATCCTCAAGTAACGGTATGGTTAACGCAGACAAGCCAAAGCTATGTACCTCATTTTGTAAGAGAAAGAAGAAACTGAATGCAAAGGCAATGAGCAGCACAAGCAATAAAAGGGTGAGCCAAAGGCTGGACCGAGTCACTTTTTTGAACATCAAAATGTAGATTGCTAAATGGCCCCACGTGCTCAGCAGCATCAGCTGAAAACATGTGGATTTTGTTTTTATATGTTCTGTTTGCTTGCTTTTGAAACTTACCGTAAATGCTGTATTAGAATGTTATTCTATTTTTCAGTCATTTTTCAACCCTTCAAAATCGACTGATCCAAAAAATAGGTAAGGGGTGACAACATGAAACAAAAATTTAGAATTCCATGTGGTCGACCCTAATATTTTATTTTTTCAAAAATAGCATTTTAAAGGGATATTCCGACCCTAAAAGTGATTTTCTACAATCACGACTATTTGTATACCAATCGATGCATTGCTTTCGAAAGTAATTTCTCGGAGTTAACTTGTAAATAATAGAATAAAATGTTCTTGAATTGGTGGATTCATTTTGAAGAAATTCCAGTCAAACTTTTTCTGAGAACTTTCTTTCCAACTTAATAGATCAGATAAAAAGAGACATAGTAGTTCTCGAAATAATACCTTTTACAAATAACAATAACAGAAAAAGATTTTTCAAATTTTGGAAGATTGTTGGCTGAATATCCTTACTCTTTATACTGTATTAACTTCAGAATTAAAAGATATTCAGCCGAATGGATTTTATTAAAGTGACCTAGTGAAAATAAGTGAATTCGAAAAAAGAAAAGGAAAAAAATTAAAAACTCCCATTACATTTATAGATTTTTTACTTTTATTTACATGAACCTTTTAGATTTGAAATATCCAAGAACAAATGAAAACGCTGATTTCATTCCTATCAACCTAATACTTTAGCTAGAACGGTTTTTTAAACACTAACCAGATTGAGTGTCAGTCCAAGAAATGACAGCGCAGCGATCGGCCAGAACAAACAAAAATTGGATTTTTTCCCTTGAGAGAACTGAAAGATTTCTCTGAAGTAAATTTTCTGGTCTCATTTTTCCTACCTCATCAATCCTCAAAGCGATGATGATAGAAGAAAGCGAGAGCACAACCAGCTCGATCACATTGCCTCCTAAAATGTGCTTTACTTCGTTACTGATTAAGAAGAAGAAAAGCACGTACTTTTCCAATAAAGGGTGCAAGTTTGCCACCATTGGATGATCTGAAATTTATAAAAAAAAAGTATTGGGTTGGGGAGAATGAGTCGGCGCCAAACTTTAAAGGGACTTTTTGCACACATAAAGCCTTCTTTAAACATACGTTTGATTTCATCAAAAGGATCCACTATTTCTCTACAAAATGACTTTTGAGAGATTCCACAAAGCTTTTCTTTCGTGGAGTTTATGAACTTCCAAACGCAGCTGGTTAAAATGGCAAAGAGTCCGACTCATCATTTGAACAGTTTCTTTCACATAAACCTTCTTTGGTGTTTATATAAAAAAGATAGAGCACATTCAATTACTTAAGTTGCCAAATTTGCAGGAAGATCCCACCAATGGTTTTTTCTAGATGACAGTTTGTAGTTTTTGTGAAAAAATGGCTTTTTCTTGAGCGGAGGCGTTGTTTGAATTTTCTTTTAAATGTCATTTTGTAGAGAATTAGTTCCACATTCTACTCATATCAAACGCATATTATTTGACGAAGTCGAATAGAAGTTTTAGACATTTTTTTGATTTTCGGCGCCGACTCATTCTCCCCAACTCAATAATTTGTTCCGTTTCATTGACCTCTTTTATTAATAAGTAGATAACAAGAAACACTAGAAGCCACGGAACGAAAACCGAAATTTCTGGACAAAAACTCTAAAAGTAATCCTTGATTTTATTCAAATGTTTCTCCACCTTGAATGTGCCTGAACGATCTCGAATAAAATTTGATTTTGATTTTGATATCTGCTCCTGCAAAAAGAGTTTTTTTTTGTTTTGAAAAACAACTAGGAATTAATTTTTTTACTTGAGGAGTGGTGTTTCCCGTTTCGTTTCCTGCCTTCTTTTGGTCTGAACGTTTTTTTGTTGTACAACTGTTAAACATTGAGCTTTATGTCAATTTGAATTCTTTCTGCACTTTTTTTCTAGCAGTGGACCTTTTAAATTAGATTTTTGTTTTACTTTTACTGTTCTATGACTTAAACACTAAGTACTAAGAAAGTAGAACCTTCTGATCCAACATATTGATCGCCGAGCATAAAAACAAACATGAGGATATAGCAAAAGAAGAAAAGGCAAAATGGAAAGAAGGCTAGAAACACTTGTAATTAACTATTTTCTCACAAGAAACTTACAAAAAAGTAAGTATTTCCAACGCGCACCATATCTCCAACGATACTTAAGAAAAGTGCCGACCAACTCATGCTCCAGCAACTTCCTTGTCTCTTTTCTCCGTGCTTTCGCCTAATGATGATAAAAAGCGTAATGTAGCCAGAAAAGAAAGAACCATCAGTCTTAGTGGGTGTTCTTCCATTAGTCGCGTCCTCTTCTTGGCTGAGCAAGCCGCTTTCTCCATGACAGAGCCATCGCTGCTGTAGCCGGCTTTGAAAATCTTTTGTCCATCTGTATTTAGATAAAAACCCTATTGTTTTTCTCATCTCACCAATCTCTTCCTCGACAACGTATGAATCGTCTATCAGGGTAAAATCATAGCAGATTTCCTTATTAACCTTGTCTCTAAATTTGAACTTTTGACATTCTTCTGGGAAGTTGCAAATCTCACGGATCGATGCACTTGTTCATGACATCCGCCGCCAACTTGGGAAATTTTTCGATGAGCAGACGCATTGGTGTCACAAGTTTCCTCTTTTCTTCAGAGATCTCCTCCGGTTTCGTCTAAATTTAAAAATAATGCCATAGATTGATTTTTTACATCGAAAAACAACCTTTGGGGAACCAATTTCAACCTTATTTGTTTCATCAGAGACGACGAATCTTATTTTGTCCATTAGAAGACGCCAATCTTTGTGTGATAATAGCTCTTTGGCTACATCTCTTAAACTTTTTTTGTTATTCAATAATCATTAAAATATTCAGAATCTGAATAGTAGGCCTCACTCATTGTTTTTTTCAATTGCAATGTCAAGAGCCGTTCTCTTCGTTTTGTCGTTTGTGACCTTGGCTAAATTTCACAATTTGTGTTCAGATTCAGAATCCATAATTACCAAGATCAATTTTTCCATTTGCAGAATCGAGGAGATAATGCACACTTTCTATTTTGCCACTGGCTGCTGCATAGTGCAGTGGAGACATTCTGAAATTTCGTCAACAAGAATTGTTTAGGCGACTCTCTGCACGAACTTGCATTCACGCTCTCCGTTGACACTGCAGTACTTTCGAAGAACTTCAGCACTGTTCAAGCTGCCCATCTGAAGTGATTCCTGGTCAGAAGTTCCTGTCGCTTACCAACCGTTATTGCTAAATCAAAAGGAGTCATCCCCTTGGCTCGAGCATACGGGTTGGCTCCTTTCCGGAGAAGGGCTTCACAGATTTTGGCATGATCTAAGAAAAGTTTTTATTCTGTTAAGAAAGAGTTTACAAAAAAACCATTTCTAGCAGCAACATGAAGTGGCGTTCGATTTCCAGCAGCCGCCGCATTGAGGATTTGACGAACTACTTTCTTTTTCAACAGCTCCTCAACCTGAAAATGTTCTTGCTCAAGTTGTGCTCTCACACACATACCACGTTAAGAAATCCACTTCTTGCAGCGAAATGCAACACTGACTCTCCGTTCTCGTTCTAAACTACTAAATAGTTTTACTTTATTTTGTTTGATACCAATTTTGTCGTGTTTATCAGAGTTTTTCCTTGAAGCAACTCCTGAAATTCGTGTTATATATGATTCTAGCTGAAAAACATAGAAACCACTTACTTGTAACCCTTCTATTGAGCCACACTGAATAGCTTTCTGGATTGCACTTGTATGGCTTGCATCGAAACTAAAAGATTCTATGTTTACCGATAATGATTGCTATTTACGCATTGCCGTGGACAACTCTTCCCATTTTCCAAATCAATTTCTAAACTGAGAGTGTAGAGAAAGCAGAAAAGTGCAATGATCTACTGTAATATACGTCGGATGATTGTAGGCGAAGGCGATTGCCAACAAATTCTCTCGTTGATCATTCTCTTCAAAACACAACGCTTTGGCAGAGATTCCGCAGTCGATTCCGTAATCGAGAAACACCTGCAATGAATTTTTCATTCTCGTTTTTTTGGCTCACCCCTTACCACAGCACTTTTCCAAGCGTTCACTTGTGCGGTCAAGTGAAGCGGAGTCATTCCTTGGTTGTTTTTACAGAACAAATTCTTAGCGTTCTCAAATTAGTCATAAAGTTTTCTGGAGCGACAAGACTGACTTACAAGCCCAATTAGTTTTGAGATTATGGCCGCTTGATTGGCTCTGGCGGCGTAATGGGCTGGGGTCTCACCGTCGTACTTTTCATCAAGTTCGTAGCATAACTGAAACGAAAATAGAAACATCAATAGAGAATGGCATTCAAATTCAATGCGATTGCATGCAATCAGCGTTTAGAATTTGCGCACCACATATCGTTAGATATGTATTGGTAACAATTTCAAATTTGTCCTTTTATATTTACTTTCCCTTTATATCCACAAAAATTCACTTCTTGCATCAATCCCTTTGTATCTCGGCAAAATTTGAATGAAACCTAAAGGATGATTCAAGGAGGGAGGGGAAAATTCTTTTTCGACGTCCCTTTATTTTATTCTGATCTACTTCCGTGGTTATTTGTGATGTTCTCCCTTCCACACACCGAAGATAATGCGATTGCCTTTTTTCAATTCAAAAGCATGCCAGCCACAACCCACCAATGTGCCCAGGGTCATGCGATGAGGTTATCCAAAGGAAAAGCCCGGTTTCATTGTGACAAGGAAGTCGATCAGAAAGTGGCCTCCGTCGTGGCTCCTGGTTCGATGGTTGCCGACTTCCGTTCTTGACAATCATCCGCTTCTCTATTTTTGGACACGTGAACTTTTTTTGGGACCTCTTTGTGGAGACGAGCTAGAGATGGACAAGAACACTACGACCGACTTCAATAACTTCATGAGACAAATGTGTGTTGAGTATCTACAGTCAAAGCTAATCCAGCAAATCGGAGAAGTTAGACAGATCGTCGAAGTGGACGAGAGCTTGTTTTCGAAAGGAAAAAACAACTGCGGACTGATTGCCTCAACAATGTATTTTTGGATGTCTGTGCAGAGAAACCGGCACATGTTTTTTTGGTTGAAGTCGAGGATGGAGCCGCCGAAACGTTTTTGCGGCAAATCAAGAAACACACCGCACCGGGGACGACTAACTACACTGCTAGACATAATTTTAAAGGCAGTCGAATTTTTACGATTTTTTGCAAAATATTGAATATACAATAAAATTGTCTTTTAAAAATCATTACTATCATAATTTTACATGTATAACTGGAGAAATTCAGAAGATGTTAACTGGAACTTATTAAAGGCAATTATTAAAGCTTGGCGGACCGCCGATCAGAATCTCGTTGATAGCCTTGTGGGAAACATGGACAATGGACTTTTTCAAGTAATTCAGCGTCGCGGAGGTCCAATCGATTATTGATTTGTTAATTTTTATGTTATTGCTGATTTTGTTAAAATTGTTAACTTTTTTTCAAATGGATTTAAAACTATGACGACTTGCCAGAGGCACTTTTTCAATAAATTTGGTTTTTCTTTAAAAGTTCCAATTACCATCTCCTGGATTTTTCCAGTTATACATGTAAAGTTATGATAGTGATGATGTTTAAAGGACAATTTGATTGTATATTCAATATTTTCCTAGAAATCGTAAAAATTCGACTGCCTTTAAAATCATGTCCAGCAGCGTATATTGATTGCTGGCGCGGGTATAAAAGTTATGCCTCCGGAATATTATTAGGGTGAACCAAAAGTTTTCTATTTTTTTTCTCTTTAAGTTTAAACAATTTTTTAAAGCTAATAAATTCGTCTTATATACGTGCCATATTTATTTTGTAGCATTTGATCTGCTCTTTCATATTTTACGAAGTTATCGTGTGTTTAACTATTTATTTTAATGTTTTACTTTGTAGGAAAGAGATGGAAAAATTCGAAATTCGGGTACTTTTGCGCCATTATTGGAAGCAAGGGTTCAAGCGGTTGAAGCGGCCAAAAAAATGCCAAGTGGAAGGTGAAGGAATGATCTCCAACAATACTGCGCAATATTGGTATGGGAAATTTAAGAAAGGCGAACTTGGTCCCGAAGATCAGCCACGTTTGGGTCGGCCTACT